CCCCAAAACCCCAAAACCCCAAAACCCCGTGGGGATTTTAGCTTGTTGAAGTTGGCTTAAGTGGGAATATGGGAATTTTGAGAGTTATGTGTCTTCTTCTGAGGAGTTTGAAGGGTGGCTGCTGAAATGTTAGGGATGGGTTACTTTGAATGGGAAGGATCTGGATGGGAGGGTTTGGGGGTGTGGTTGTGGGTTGAAGGAAGTTCAGAGTTTTTGGGAGGGTTTGATGTGGAAATTTGGGGTCTGGAGTGAGAGTCAGCAGAGATTTCAGAGTGGTCAGAAGAGGGCTCTTGAGTAGGTGAGGGAGTGATGAAGAGTCTAAAAATGCCGAGAAGGGTGATGAGGATGGTAGGGGCGATAATAAAACAGCTTGTAGTTATAGCAATAGATTCTCCAATGTTATCTGAGTCATTGATGTTTTTTGATATGAAGATAAAGTTGAGACATAAGTAAATGAGGAATAATATATTTCAACCTATTGATAATAAGCTTGTTATCAAACACTGCATTATATGATATTTTTCTTTAGAATATTTTGGTTTGTTTTTAAATACGGAAAGTATCTCAATACATAAGAATAGCAACTGTACTGCCCATAAAATGCCCAATTGCCATTCTTTAGATGCATAAGCAAGAGTGATCAGTCAGATAGGTATGATTCCCCTCTTCATCAAGAAGAAAGTATAAAAATATCCTCTATAAGTTTCATTGGTATTCTTAGCATAGAGGGCGAATGCAAATGAGAAGGTAAAGTAGACCAAGAATCATAGGATATTTATTGCAATCACCAAGGAAAGTTTAACCAAGCTTGAATCTCTTGGTGTTGACATAAATTCAATGAATACAGCTGTCCAGAGGAATAGAGTAATCTCGATTCAGTATCTAATGTAGAAATCTTTGCTAATATGCTTCTTGAGAACGTTTACACCTTTGAAGAATCCGTTGTGCTCATTCTTGGCATTAGCGAATCATTGAGTAATCTTTAGTACAGCATGGAGTATTATAATTGTTCAGATAATCCTTGCGTAGAAAGCTAGATTTACTAATACGCTTCCATAATCCCAAGCTATTTTTCTGAAATCTTGTCTGTCAGGCATGAAGTTTACTTCTTTTCTGACCTCATCTCTGATGGTAGTGAACTCGTCAATGAAGTTGAGATCAAGTTTACAAGGCTCTAGCTTGTCTAGGAAGAAGACAAGGCTGGCCGGCTGGTCTACTTCAAGCATGATCATGAGGTAAATGAGTTGGATGAAATGAAGTAAAATCCAGAACGGAGTTGCATCGAATCCCTTCACTATATATCCGATGTAATAAATCAACCCAGCCACGCATGTAAGGCCTATTATTGTGTATGCTAAACCTTCTAAGACAGGGTAATCATCAGACTCTGGTGTTATTGTGGTAAGCTTTCTTTCAGCATTTGGTGAAACAGGCTGTCCTCCTGGGTTTTTACAGTTCATGCTATTGAAGGTAAATTTGAGGCTTGGTGATAATGCGATGACGTCTTCCTCAGAAATTTTAGAAAATGACTGTTGCTTCAGACATTGGTGAGGTAAGGCTATTGAGTTTATAAGCTTTTTATAGCTTTGTTTGAAGTCCTTTGTGGTGTTTATCTTGGAATTTCCAAGAATTTCCTTAAATGAAGGATAGAGAGAGCTCATGTCTATGAGTTCATTTTCTTCTTCTGATCCGATTATGACTCCGAATCATTTGTCTTTAACTATGAAATATCATTCATAGTTGATTTGAAATATGCTGATCGTATTTTCTTGCTGGTATAGTGATTTATCTCTCTCTAGCAGCTCACTCTGAACTTGCAGTATTAGAAGGAGTACGGAGGCTACAAAAATAAACAGTTTCATGACAATTTTCAAATATTCAATAAAAAATACAAAATTGGGGTTTTGGGGTTTTGGGGTTTTGGGG